CTCAATAGAAGGGCGGAATACTTAACGAAAACAAACTTAGGGGGTATCACTTCTACCAGTAATTTCCGTTCGAAAAGCGATGGTAACGAGGTGTCTAAAGGCCACGTTTTGAGTGCACTCGGCCAATAGTTTGACTCTTCACCTTATGTAAACAAAAACTTTCGCTACCGAGGTGATTGATTGAATCCGCAAGCTGGTACAAGTGGATAACAACACTTAACGTCCTTTTACCACAGCTCCCGAGTGGATAGACGTGGGATATTACCCGGATGCAATCCAAAAGTCCTAGATCTGCTTAACAAACTAGAGATGCATGAGGCATACTAGAGACATCCATTGAGCCAAAACGACGAAAATAAACTTTCTTTTTCAACTACTGAAAATGGAGTATCACCGAGAAATACTACCCTTCAGTAAAAGAGAACTTGCGCTGAGGTTCACAGTTGAATTCCCACCCTACCCTTGTGAAACAGTTTTTGGGTCAGGCATTAATAAGGCTCCAAAAGGTTCCAGAACCAACAGTCACTTGGTCCAAATATAAGCTGTTTACTAGAGGTTTCTGTTCATTGCTTCCCGAAGGTGACAAAAACCTTGGCGCAGCTTTTTGCTAAAGTCTCGGGATACATATCGCATCATCTTTAAACATTGGGGCTAATGATGTAAATATTTGACCAGTTTCACTCTTAAAAAAGGTGGTGGGGGCTGATCGATAGCTAGGCAATGCGCCATGCATTTGAAATTACCAACTGATTCCCAAAGTTGATGACCACCTTAGCTCCAGCTACCCAACCTTTCAGAGAAACTTATATTCTAAGGCAGTAGAGAACTGGGGGAAGAAGCAAAGCTTTTACAAGGATAAAGCAAAATCCCCTTGAGCACTCTGATTACTGCGTCAGGTCCTCAAAACAACAGAATGGCTAAGAAAACAAATCTGCTTAGCTCAATTATCTAAAGGCGGCCTAGTAGTGGCAAGAAATAACCCGGCAATCTGTTCCACTCATACAGCATTCACTATTCTTTTGCTCATCGACACATCAAATGACGTAATTGCGTACAAACCAATAACTTCTTTCCGTCATACGCACATTTTATGTGACCTTGTGTAACCTTCAAATCAACCCTAGAATTAGATCCAATTCAACCATTCCGCGATATTTTTATCCGCGACTACCGTATGCCACAACCGCAGCCGGAGCCGCTGCCGTTAGCAACCTCGCCCGTCTAAATAATGACATTCAAAAAACGATGGCATCGAAACCACAAAGCCACCTAGGTGCCGCTGCGGCTCTTCTTCGTTTCATGACCTAGGTAGGAGGTCCCGTTGGGAGAGCGGGAGAGCTCAAGGGGGATAAGAGCAGCCAGTGACTGCTACCATCTGCGACTGCTCAACGTCAACGATACCTTTGATGTTGAGAGGCCCAATGCGCGAAAAAGCCCTCGTCTCAATGGATTAGACCAAAGCGACGTCATTTACATAAGACGTCTTCGTTCTCATTCGTTTTTCTCATACGCCACAGTCGAAAACCACACAAACCAAATCCTTTTGCGACCAGTTGACCAGAATGGAGTGTGGGACTGAAAAAGGTCGTTGCCTTGGCCAGAAAACCCCCCAAATCGGCCATGCGGAAAACCAACGCGATGATGCGAATCCTAAACAACCTACAACACATGAAGTAGACTCAATCTACTCTAGGAGCAAGCCCGATCGCCAAGGCTTTGGGAAACCTGGAAAAACTACCCTGGTAACGACCAACCACGTCAGTGAGAGGCAATCCCTTTAGTGGCGAGGCCCGGGCGATGTGTTGGTGGGAGATGGGCAGCGGGCAAATCCCTAATCCCAGCGATCTCAAGGCTCTCGGCAGTTCACCGCAATAACGTCATCTGTCACCACTAAGTGCCTAGGAACAAATTCTAACTTCTGTCGTAATTCCCTTCATGAGCACATATGGAGCTTGACCCCCGATGGAATCCATGACCAATTGATAACGCAAGGGACGATTAATCGCCGACGCCGTTGGCATAGGTTTACATCGGACGAATCATCGCCTCATTCCCGCGTCCACTATACGGTCGTAAACGGCGGCTTATATCTAAGTGCATTCATGGCCATAAAAGGACCTTTCGCAAGCGTCTACAACATAAAGTTAGCCTTCAATGGGGTGTGCTCTCTACGTGCCCTCTTCAGCTTCATTATACACAATCGGTGTGCTAGCAAAGTAAATGAGCCGCTTTGTCAAAGCACTCGGCTGAAATATTAATCGTCTTCTGACGCCTACGGCCTAGACCCGCAGTGAGAATCAAATCCCGAGGAAAAGGAAAAACGTCATAAACATACCTTTTCCTAAGGGTCGGCATCGTCTTAGGGTTATGGCATTGAGTCATCGGTACCACATCGTCCAGTTCCTCGTTCTCGTAGCAAACCCGAGCCGAATATCGACCATAATTTGCCAGAGCTATTGAAATGACCATACCATGGGGACATTCCAATTCGGCTGTACCACCTTCGCATACTACAATGGAACCTGAAAGAAAAACCTTTCATCTCGTGGTTTATGTTGGCAACGAAATCGAAGACCCCAAAAAAGAGGTGCTATAGTCTGCGAGCTATCCGGAGAGAAATAAACAGACTAGTTTTTTGAAGTATCAAATTTCTGCCAAATTAGTCATAAAAATTAGTCATAAATCTGAGTTCCGGCAGAATCCAAGCCAACCCTTGCTTCTATTACTTTCTTGAACTTTTCAGTGCTTCAAACAAATTGAAATTGCAATTTGAACAAATAATGATAAAATTTCTAAATGAAAAATAATAATTCTATCAATTTCCTTTCAATACTTTCAATTTCAACGCACCAGCAAATGAAAAAAAGGGATTTGCTCGCATGGCTAGGAAGAACTCCTCCCCAAAGGCCAGATCGACTAATTGTTAAACCCATTCATCTTACAAAGCCCCCAGTAAACACCAAAGGGATTGCTCTCAGTCAAGAAGCAATCAGCATCCAACAGAGGCCAGAGTTCCAAGGGATCAGGTGAGTCGTTTGGACTGTTAGACTTCTGGCGGAACGAAAGATGAATAAATTGAATCGACTTATGTTTATTCCTCTCGGGATCTCGAAAAATCAGAGATAAATTTGCAAGAAAATTTTAAAAAATCTCGCTTGCAGATACCGTATCCTTCACTAATTCACCCATAAAACACCTCAGACACCGTCTAGAACCCTGTACTTTTAAAGGGTAAAAGTTTCCTATCTACGGAATGGCATTTGAATTTCCTGCCTAATCTCCCATCGTTACGTATAGGCATTTCCTCTCGCTATTGTGCTGTTGGCCTCATTTCATCTACGAGGCAGCCGAGCGAGAGGCTTGTTGACCAAGTGTTTCTATTTGCACAAACGGCCAGCCAGCAGCGTGTGCGTTCATCTGTCGTATCTTCTTCCGTTGAGTGCACGTAATGCTACGCAACGGAATACCAAGAGCATAACATTTCACAACGGAGAATAATAGCCACCAGAACTGATTGCTTCAGACAAACAACGGTATTCAATTTCATTTCAGGGTGGTACCGGTTCGTCCCGACGGTATCAGAACCCAACTGTCCCATACCCCATGGGACATCGACGGCATTCCATTTAAAGCCCGTAAAAATCCGCATTGCGTCTTGTGCACCTCGAATTTCATGGACATTTACATAACAATGCCCGGGGACACTTGCGACGTGGCCCTCATTCGGGCGCCTCGTATGCTCAGTCTTAGTCAGGCGAACATAAAAGGAAACAAACAAACTTCAGCCACAGGACGCACATCCGAAGCAATGCCGACATCGATGGGACTGAAGTCTCCTACGCAACTTACCCCCACTGCTTTGCGGTATACAATAAGTGCACTTGGATATCTGATTACGTAACGGAGTGAAAACCTCCCAAGTATTGTATTTCACCCCGAATCCTCTACCTCGAGAGTAAAACAGGTTCCTGACCCTCTGAGCCAATATACCCGACCAATAAAAAAAGAAGTGGCACTCAGGGATGAGAGTGTACAAGATGTCTGGTCGTGTTTGCAACGGCTTATCCGTGTCGGCATAGATCTTCAGATCACCATATGCCCGCCTGTGGCACCCTCAAGTGAGCCGGAGTAGTCCCGAAAGCGGATAATCCGCCGATCAAACATGCTGCCACGATCGTTTTGATGCTGCCGCTCAGCACAAACTTGGCCCCATGTGGTGACTAATTACCCGGAAAAGGTAAGCAGCTACTGCATTGATGGCTTAATAATCGTGAGTGTCATTGGATAAGACAGATGAATCATTTCCTATCGGAATGGACCCTCATAATGGAAAAACCTGCGATGGTGACCTCTACGGACGGACGGGTTGTGAATTAGCGTTGATCGCCATCGTAATTCATTGCAAACGAGCAACAAAAATATCAATCCGGAACAACTCTCAATGGTGACGACCGTGATGTGCCCCCGCTCGGATTGGATCATGACTGATGGCGCTATGGCACAGGGTGGATCGCCGCTTAACGTCGGCTCATTATGAATGATGCCCGAGTCAAACTGAGCACCGACAATCGCCTTCTAATTGCAAGCACTTTGAAATCATCCGACACGACAAAGTACGCCTTTTCGTTACCCTTCCATGAGCGCTAATTGGCGAACCATTTGCTTCGGGCAAACCCCCATGGACCGTCTTCATCCCCTCTTTTCATGGCTCTTTACCGACATGCACACGAAGCGTTCCGCTCATAAGTGAGAGATGAACTTTCCTCAGCGGGAGCTCCTTCATAAGAAGTTGGGCGCTTCTTAGAACTAGTAAGTTACGAGGAGGTTCGAGACCCCTCTTGTATTAGCATAATCAAAGCTGCAAAGCTGTAACTCTTGCTAGGAGGCGTAACACTACCGTCACAGTTATCGTAAGTAGACGAAGACGTTATCGGACGAATCAGCGGCTCTCGGGATCTCTTCTGGCCGGTCGCCAGATCACTATCTCACAGAGACCTCACAATGCTACGCAACCGGGGCACACTGCTTATATGCAACGCGCTGCCATTTGACACTTGACGATCGTAAATCCATCGGGTGCCCGTCAAACAGCTCATATTAGATCATACAAGAAAGATATACCGCACCCAAGCGATGACGATTTCAAGACCATCAACGACGATAAAAAGCAGCCGCCTCTTCCTTCATAAACAGCCCGGATAGCACAAGTACGGGTTCGAGTCCCGCCCGAGGCCGAAGTTTTGTCCAAAACTTGTGAGACCTTCATAACCAGTTTTCGAATGGGAAGTTCAGCCTCGACCAGGATACAGAATACTTCACGTACCGAGCGGATACCTTCTTCTGCCTCCATGATGTTGGAAATTATCCCCATCCTCAAAATGCAACGACGACCACGGGGAATAAGATGAAGAGGCTAATGGGCCTTTATGTTCTTCTCCTCAGCGCCTAGAAGCCCTCCCACATCTCGCCCCGCTTCCAGGCCTATTAGGCTATAAGGTGAACTACAGATATATACTGGACCTTTCCATACGCTAGAACAAGGTCCTATATGAGAACAAGATTGAAGAAAACGCAAAAGTCCCAAGAGGCGTCCCTTCAAGCCTAACTAACAATTTTGCACGCCTGTGACTTATTTTGAAAGGAATCCGACAGGAAATTTCGAAAATCACCTATCAATTTTACGGCCCATAAAAGGTTGCCCAGTTTATTCAAGGTTAGTCAGCTATGGATTCACAGCCTGAACAATAGGGCCCTCTAGATAGAAATGCTTCTGTGCCTGGCCCATGAACAGGGGACCCTTGGATTTGTGAGAAGGTGAACTCACCGGGCCTGTATGATATCCCTAATGTTCCCACTCTCATCGTGGGAAAAGTCGATATTGATTAGTTGTTTCTATCAATTTTCATGGATCGACCTTTGTATTTGTTTTCATACACGTTGGTCGGGAAGGGAGGACTGAACAAATTTTTCATATGAGGTTGAATAGGGTAATGACAGCCACAGTCTGAAGCTAATTCATAATCCACCCACCCGATCTAGACAGCTGGAAAGGAACTTAGAGGAATTGCCAGAAAGCCAAGACGAAAGTCAAGGAAGCTGGAAGAAGTTGTGGGTCCACCCTGCGCTTTCAAGTGGAATGGTAAGAAAAGATTTGGTTTTAGAAATGTTTTTTTGAACCTCCGCTACCACGAGAGAACTTTCCAGGAATTCCGTAAACAACGAGCCGTGCCTGGAGAAGCGTCTGCTGCATTGGCAAGCGATTAGTCTTGATCAGTCTTAGTCACCAGGGGAAAACAGGGGGATGAAGAATCTGCTCGGGAACGGAAGTGTGAACCATATGTGACATAGAGGATTTCGCACTTGAGAACCTATCTGAAGTGTGATCGTTTCGACAGAAAAGAGTCAGTTTGGCCTACGTCTGTGTGCTGTGGCAACGTTTAGATGACCCCCGATTGCGCAACGATCGTTCTTCGTCTTGGCCTGCCAGTAATCCTGCTCTAATCAGTAGATTAGGTAAACGTACCACAGACTAAATTGGCGTCATCGGACACCAGGGCTGAGACGATAAGCGTGAAAGTCCCCTAATTGACCCTCAGTTATCTACTCTACCTAGGTTCGAATTGTCGCGACAACGAAGTCCATTGTGTTGATTTTGAAAGGGACCCCGACTTCACTACGACGGGCAACAAAGAAGAAGGAAGGAGAAATTTAATGGTCGATGACTTCTCCGGCGGAGGTGGTTTAATGGCGTCCATTTCGTACCTAATGAACCTCATCATGCTGAAAATGAGCCGTGTCTGAGAGGATCTTAAGCCTTCGATGAAGGCCATAAATAGTTGGAGAGAATAGCTAGCCCGAATGAATGATCATGAGCGGAGTTCAACTAAAACAATAGCCATACGGCTATAAAACGGGGAGGTAGTTAGTGAGCAAGGACAAATCACGCATAATTAGCGATTTGGATAGCAGCCAGACAACGATCAGGTCATCGATAGATGGAAACTTATAGGACTTCGAACAAGATGTATTGACCAAGTAAGCAATGAGTCCTGCAACGAGTATTGAGGATACGGTAGTTGGAAAACGCAGGGCAAGGACAAATATCCCCTGCGTTGTCTAAGCACTCTCAAAATCAATTACCTTCCTATCTGGTTGAACACATCATCATGCAACAGGTGCACCAGCCATTTCTCCTAGTTGGGAGCATAAAAATTGTAATAAAATGCACCTGTTCGTACTAGTAGGCTTTTAGACCCGTATTTTCAGTCAATCGAGAAAAAGCTCGGGAAAAAGCTCTCCTCACAGGTATGAGAGTAGCGCGCTACCCAAATTTCATTTCGTTCCCAAACTAATGCTATTTGAGGAGGGAGAGGAGTGACCGACTGACTGCACTCCTAGAAAGCCTTTGCCTCTTCATGTATTTACATAATCGAATTTGAAGACGACGACAGCCTTTGCACAGGCCCCAAGACTTCGTCAAGAGAAAAAACTACTTCTCCTCAATTCCCTCGAGAGGCATCTACCAATTTAATAGGGTCCAGCAAGGAAAAAAAAAACATCAGAGCCACAATACAAGTACGAAAATTCAGTAGATACCCAGGCCTTTAAGGTGTTGCACCCCTCTGTCGTTTATATTACCGCAAACTATAAACCAATAACACCCACTACCCGTAGGATATACACAAAAGAAACATCTATTCCTTTAATACTTTATTTAGGTAATTATTCCGTGATTGGAATTACGGTAGGAATCTGAACTCCCCTTTCTGTAACTTACAGCGAAATGGAACGCCCTTAACCAAACCAGTGAAGAACCAAGAAATCAAGAACCAACTCATGATGGAACCAGTAACTCAGTAATATAGTAACTTTTCGAATTGGCTACTTATATGGGATTTAGGGTTTCGTTCAGGTAAAAATGCCCCATTAAGCGATTTATACTCATAGAAACAGCTATTTACTCATCACTTAACCTTATAACCATATTGGGCAATCGATGATAGTCAAGAGTTCAAGTAACAAAAACATTCTCGATTGCAATGAAGAGAACTTTACTGGGGAACAATGCAATTGTCCCTTCAGCTGCCATTTATTGTTGGGAACACTTGGGAGAAAATTTACTGTAAGCACGTTGTAAATGCAGTTAATTAGAGAAAATTACCAGCCCTGAAGACTTAAAAAACCCTGAACTTGCCTATGCAAACTAGCTTTCCTGAGGTTGAGTTGACATCCTAAACCTACCCATACCATTCTGAAGGATGTCCATCAAGTGTTTTCGATGATGACACCAAATTCGCTTGGGACCACCATCTGGATCATAAATGACCGCCAAACACCACTTTAGCATCGTTAGCTAAGTGCTAAGCTGATAGAATTAGAAATTACATGGTCGACTAATTTCACCCCTCTCCCGATCGGGGATGGACGGGTTTTCGGGCCAAGACCCCTGACCGACAGCATTGCAGCATTAAAGCTGCTGCTGCTGCTGCAGCAACGACCTCGAGATTGGTAAACTGATGCCTGCTATTGTATACAAACGTATTCAAATCGAATCGAACGTCGTCATCGTTCCACATATGGCAAGCAGGGAGCATTGAACGAACGAAAAACGAAGAAAAAAAAACGTGCAATTTGAGCTAGAACTCACTGTTTGATTGAGCTGGCAATTCTTCTGCGACGGT